GGAAGTTACGGTTGATTTCCCCTTCTGAAACCCGTGCTGTGCTTGTGAAATTATGCTTTGGTTTTGCAAATGTTTTAGTATTCCCTTTTTGATAATTTTCGTAAATAATCTAGCAAATTTTGATGTGATACTCATGGCCAATAATTGGAGACACTACCACGACGTTCTTTTTGGGAATAGGTGTCACAAACGAGACTTTCCATCTATGCGGAACTTCTGATCGCATCAAGCTAAGATTGAATATGAACTGCAACGGTCTCGAAATGACGTGTGCCAGTAGCTCATAGATCTCAACGTCATTGAAATAAGTACAATCCCTCATAGCCTGGAACCTAGGCCGAGTGGTATCCGAAAGTACGTCGTCACAACTATCCTTCTCAAAAACACTTTCAAACATGTCAGCAAAGCCCTCTACTTTACCTAGCGTGGGAAGTACTTTCATTGGCCGGGGCTGTTTGATACGAGATGCATATCATCTGAATCAGCTTCGAACGCTGATTCTAAATCTACTTTCCGTTTCTGCGGAACGCTCTTCTGAAGAGAGTTATGGAAGCCTGAACATCCTATTTGGGGGGCGCTCCTTGAGTTTGAGGGCGCTGCTATGTGCGTTGGTGGCGCAGTAGTGTAATGGTTAATTGCTGACATTGAATGCGAGAGGTTGATGGTTCAAATCCGATGGAGAGCGAACTATTTTGCTTATTGAATGTGAGTTTGAAAGCACTCTAAATCGCCTGCAGACACTTACTGTAATGCCTTAGCACAAACAGGAGAGAACATCTTTTCGACTAATCACAGTGTGCATTTTTTGAGCTTTATATGTTGACAAACGTGCTAGACCATGTTTGGTCCCGTTTTACTAGTAAGGAAGTCAAATAAAATTTCAGGCTCTCATTACAAGCAGTTTTGCCAGAAAATTCTTTTTCTAGGTCACTTATGCCAAAAGCATTACAGTAAGTGTCTGCAGGCGATTTAGAGTGCTTTCAAACTCACATTCAATAAGCAAAAGTTCGCTCTCCACCGGATTCGAACCATTAACCTCTCGCCTTCAATGTCAGCAATTAACCATTACACTACTGCGCCACCAACGCACATAGCAGCGCCCTCAAACTCAAGGAGCGCCTCCAAAGTAGAATGTTCAGGCTTCCATAACTCTCTTCAGAAAAGCGTTCCGCAGAAACGGAAAGCAGATTTAGAATCAGCGTTCGAAGCTGCTTCAGATGATATGCATCTCATATCAAAAGGCCACGGCCATTGATAGTACTTCCCTTGTAAGTCAGAAATCAAAATTTTACCCGTTTTCGAGCTGAATGACTCCTATCCTATTTTTGGCCTTGACCCTTCGGTTTAGAAGTTGATAGAAAGCTGACTTATTTCCCGATTTGATTATCTTACTTTCTAGATAAGCGTTATATCTTTTTAGTCTTTTTTCTAGACTCAGACTGATTGCTTTGAACTGTCTTTCTCTACCGGTATTCGTAGCTTTAAACCAAGCTTTCGTGGGAAAGTCTCTCTATGTTTTGGGGCACGGTATACTTGCCTACAGCTACCATTTTCATGGGCACAAAAAGATCGATGATGAATATGATACGATACAACTCATAGATCTCACCTGTTCCCGATCAAGACAGGAGCAACCTTGTAGTGTTTAGTTTTAGTGCTTTGCGACGCAATATTGCGCTTCAGTAGTGCTAAAACCTTTCAAAAATCATTGTAAACTTCAGAAGTCTTTTTTCTAACGCCTTTTCAACGTTGATGTTGGGCATCATCTGAAGACATCCTGAGGAAGGAACGGTAGGGGAATCATCCAGAAATACGGAAGGAATGGTTTATGGCTTCAAAATTATTGAATTTATAGGCTAAATACTCAAAATCTGAATTTCGGGAGCCACAGAGTTTGGTTACGCGAGACGGCGAAGATCGCCGTGGCAAAGTCTCGCTTTGCCGACTTTTAAAAAAATGTCGTTAAATATTTGGTGGGAGGGAGCAAGCCAAACAGTGACAGAATAAACGTAAGATTCTAACAGATTATTTTACTTGTTGTCAGGCTTGTTTAATTAGTTTTACCAATGAAAAGCGAAAAAAATTTGGAGGGAAAAAGGTGTCGAAAATTGATTTTTCGGCTCTTCGGATTTTTCGTTTCAATGATAAAGATCTTTTCCATTTTCTTGCTATGTTGGAGAATGATGCATGAGCTTACAGAGCAGACTTAGAGCTTTCAAAAGCATACGCATTCTATCTCAAATATAGTCAATGTTGTCGAGAAAAAACTAAAACAAAAAATGGAACAGAACTTATTACACGACCTAATAATTTATCAAAACGAGCTGAGTACTCAAGAACTTGCTGATCCT